CTCAGACTCATGACTTCAAGATAAGGAGTCTTAAGCTCTTCCACCTGAGCCAACCAGGTGCCCCAAAGATTATCCTAAGGAACAAGGTGGGAGTAACTGGCTCTATCAACCATCAGTCTTTTATAAAGCAACAGTAGTTAAAATGTGGAACTGACCCAAGGATAGACAAATGGACCAATGGAAATGACAAGGTCACCAAAGAAAATGACTTGGACTAGAGCCAAAAGAGACACCTTATCCTGACCAGTTGTGTGATAGCTTCCCCTGAGTCAGGAACTCTCCCAACTACTTCACACCAGTTAATCTTCACACTGTCTTGGAAGAGGGCAAGGCCATTAGAATTTTCCCCCAGATGATTCTAATATGCAGCTGTGTGAAAACCACCTCCCCCAACACACACCTCCCTCTCTCTCTCTCTCATTTTCTCTCTGTCTGTCTGTCTGTCTCTCCCCTAACTTTCAATGAGCAATGCAGTTTTTTATTTAAGGCTCATTAGGATGCTGGCGAATGCAATTATATCATATTCCAAAACTTTCTGAAATCCCATTTAGATATTTCTTTCCCCAAATTTCTACTCCTTTCCCTTTCTTTTCTAGCTAAGTTCTTCATTTCTTCCTGTATTACTGTTATTTTTTGTTTTATTTTGCAAAGCAATTTCCCCCTTCCCTCTGTTTCCTTCTTCTACATCTCTATCATCTCACCTAGCTTAGCAAACAAAAGGTTTTTTGAGGACTTTTATAAAAGGGAGAGAAAGATTGAAAGTATTTCTAGTTTAATGTTTTCCTTCCCCACATACAAATCTGCGTGGCTTGAATTATCTTCCTTTGTGTATATTTTCAATACTATCAGGAAAAAAAAAAGAACCCTTTCATTTTGGAATAAACTCAAATGCAGGGGACTAGCATGGTGCAGACTGAATGAGTGCAAGTGCTGGGCTCTAGATGTGCTGCTCACAGGCCTCAAGGAGCCAGCATCCACCTACCCCGTTAGTGAAAAGGTGCCCCATAGCACAAAAGTACCTATGCAGCCCCAGCTTCGTGAACGTGTGACCCAGGCAGCCACACAGGGCCCCACACTTAAAAGGGTCCTGTGCTTGTCATTATTTGAAATTCTCACTAATTTATGCACAAGGGCCTCAACATTCTCATTTTGCTCTAGGCTCTGCAAATGATGTGGTCAGCCTGTGCTGAGGGAAGGGGTTTATAGTTTTGCTTGATTTTACAACAACAAAAAAGAAAAACCTCTGGGCTGAGTGCTTTGTGAAATACTTTCTCTGGTTTCTCAGAAACCATTTCCTCTTTTCAGCTCTTAGTTGTCCCCCTGGGTTTGGCAGTTGCTGTTCACTTGCTGCTTTACTGAATCTCTGATGTTCGTTTCCTGCTCACTTAAGATGTTTTCACAACGGCAAAACAGGTTTTTGTTTTTTGTTTTTTGTTTTTTGACCACCTGGCCCCAATCTCTTGCCCTGTCCTTGCCTCCTTTTCCCTTCTCCCTTCATTCTGCTTCTGCTCTGAAATGAACATTACCCACTGATTACTAAAATCCCCCATCCTAAGGCAAGGCTTTGACCACACAGAACCTTCTCGGTCATTGGAAAATGACATGCTTCTCATCTCTGTGCTCAGTTGTGTGCTTTTCCTTCTGCCTGAAATGCTCTTTCATCATTATCACCTACCCCACTTTGGCTTTCATTCTTTTAGATCCAACCTAAATGTTCTTTTCAGTATTAAACCCTTTAGGAGTGTCTCAGGCAGAAGTGTCACCCACCTGCTCTTGTTCTGATAGCTTTGAAGACACACCTCTGTCATAGCAGGTAACACTGAATGGCATACAGAGGCTGTTCTTCTCTTTCATCCTCTCCCACCCACCTTATTCTGGAGAAGTCATTTCAGGATTTGGAATACAGGTCAGTCATTCTTTCCAGAAAGTTCTCCCTGAATACCTGCACTTCTTTCATCATAGCACTAATCAACGTTATAAGATAATCAGTACCCCTCCTCAGTCAGACCATGTCTGTTTCACCTAGGGTGGCAACCTAAGTGCCTCGCATGGTTCTGAGCACATAACTGGCTCAGTAAATATTTGTTCAATTCAAGAATGAGTAAGTGAGTGAAGGCGTATATACAATGTTGTCTTGACTGTGGGCTTTGTAACTCTTTTTTTAACTTCTCCCCCTCTCTCCTTATTTCTTAACCCACTGATTGGCATGTACTCGGTACTCAATAATTTCATTCAGTAAACAAATACCTGAAAGGACTTATGTGACCATGGAGCCCGAGCCCAAGGCCTGGGCTTGGGTTAGTATCCCCAATGACTTCATCCTTGACTTGGGGTTGTATTCTTTAGGGGAGGATGACAGGGATGACAGCATGGGGATCTGGGCTGATGTTCATTCAGGAAGAAGAGGATGAATCTCCCTTTATGTTGTAATAAACCTCATATTGTTGTCTAGAGAGTGACAGAAAGTAATGCTACATTCATAAAATTGTAACTGTCTGTGCTAAGTATACAGAATTATAATAAGCATCACAGAAGAGTTAGCTTTGGAAAAGCACAGGGAACCATCCCTTGAAAGAGCTGCTGTCTTTATTTAAGGGTGAGCCTGACCCTTAGACTCATAGCTTTGATCAGGGCTCCTTCCTGTCCTCACTGTCATCCTCCTCCTATGATCTTGGGCTCCCGTTTTCTACCTCCCAAAGTGCAACTTCTTCTTCGAGACCCAGCAGGGAGGTATCTTTCTTTTGAGGAGTTTCCTGCCTCCCTATCTTGTGACTGGCATTTTCCTTCTTGTGGCCAGCTCAAGTTCTTTTTGAAGCTCCTTTCTTTCAAGAAACCAAAGATCAGTTGGAAGAAGGTGGGGTTTCTCTCATTCCCCTTTTCACGTGCTCCTTTTAAGAGACTGGCTGTCCTTCTCTGTACAGTATTCCCAACTGGACAGGGAGCATCCTGTTACAAAGAAATTAAGTGAGCCCACAAGTCTCAATATATGGAACACCAAGAGAGGGAATTCAGTGAATCTGAGCTCTAATGGAGTACTTGCTGCAAGTTAGTAATGTGCTAGAAAGTTACAGGGAAATTAATTTGGGATTCATAAATATGAGGAAGAATGTTGCTCTTGTCAGAGCTGAGCTCTCTTAAAAGGGAATAGGAAGCCTTTCAGGAGAGTGAGATACCTATCATCAGGAATGTTCATGAGTAGGCTGAACATACGAGGGCTAATCTGGAAGAGATTCCTGCATGGGGTAGAAGGTTAGCTAGAGAGAGCCTCTATGGTTTCTTCCAAATTTCAAGCTTCTGCAATTTTATTATGGGGTTCTAACCCTGTAATGCAGTTTATATTTCAAAATACTGTACTTAATTAGTTGTTTTTCTAAACTCCTTCTGAAGTAAATCAGCTTCATACAGTGGTAATTAGTTTATTGGTAGAAACAATGACTGAGTCTTAAGCATGCATAGTTTTATGTATGTGGCAAGGACACAAGAAAGGCTGACTGTTATTATTCCTACCCTGTTTTCCAGAAATGAGATTTTCTAGTATCCCTGTGAGGATGTAACTTAGCCAAGTTAATAAATATCATGAAAATAAAGAAACAATTATTAATATGGAATATTTAAAAAATGCTGAAGCCAGATTAATCAGTCTTCAGACAATTGAGCATAGTTTCTTACAATTGGAGTGAACCCAGAAGATTCTGGCAAGGTTATACTTAAGAAAGCAAACATAGACTTCTCCAAATCACAGTTGGTCCTCTTGCAGTGAAATCCCTGCTGGGGCATGTAATATGAGACATCTGGAAGACCTGAATATATGGGCAGTGTGTTGGGCACACTGGGGGGACCATGTCTTCACCATTAGTCAGCTATAATGATTTGAAAAAAATTACTACAGAGATTCAGCCAGAGAGTCTTACTTTGTCCCCAAAAGTCCAGAGACAGGTAGCTCAAAAATGGTATAATTGTGTGAAGAAACCATCAAGGGTGTAGCCTCCTTTAAGCTTCAGATCTTCCAACTCTAGTTTGTGGTTTTTGCCCTTAAGGTCCAAGATGGCTGCTTCACCTCAGGCCTTCAGGTACATTCTGCACAAGAAGAAGGAAGTGACCTAGAGGAAGAAATGGTGCCTATTTCAGGAAAGCAAAGCTTTCTAAGAAATTCTAGCTCTTACGTCTCTTTGGCCCAAACTGTGTTATATGCTCAGTTCTTGCTGTAGTAGAGCCCGGAAAATACAGTTCTTTCAGTTGGGCTTATTACTTCCCCAAACCAAACTTAGGTTTTGCTAGTAAATAAGAGGAGGATACATATTGGAGAAGCAGCCATTGTCTGTTTCCTGATGAGGTAGACTCTGCTCTCTATCTCTTTTTTTCTGGATGGAGGACCTTTGCTATAGACTTTGAGCTACTGGAGATACCACTACCTGGAAGACCTTGTGAGGAAATTATACTGCTGCCCTTTGCTCACATAAATATTTAACCCATCAACACATAATTTTGAAATTTCTCTGTCTTCAGGCTGTGAGCCATGGTTAGTCCATTTGCAACATCAGTGTTCTCCAGGGGCTTTATGGAGACCATCAGCTCCATGCCTGAATACTTTCTGGTGCTGTGCAGAAAAGAGTCTGACACCTATAGCCATGTTATGAGTTCTTTCTCACATTTCCCCCCAGACCTAAACCAAGTCTCTTCTTCTTGGACATGCTGGCCTTGCTGGCTGTTAACACTTAGCAGAACAGCAACCACTCCTATATGGAACAGACCAACACCTCAAGATTTGTTTAAGCCGAGGAGGAGGTAACTACCTTTAAACAAAAAAGGATTTATGGCTTTCTTGATGTACTCCAGGGATTCCTGTCTGACAGTACTCAGGAGGAACCACTGAAAACAGAATTCTAACATTTTAGACCTGTCAGAGACAAAAACTGACAAAGACAAAAAGTGTCCAACTCAGTCCTCTCATGAGGCAAAGGAGAGCACTGTGACCTGAGACGATGCGTGTTTTACTCCAGGTGTGGTACGGCAGAACTCAGAGGTCAAAAACCAGGGGAAGGAAGATTGCATGGGGAGAGGTAGAGTGCTCTCTTTCACCTCCTGAGTAGGTTTGTATTACATTTTTTATTTAAGCACCTACAGGCATGGGAATACTCCAACGCTATAGACAATTAAGGCAGAAGTTATGGGAGGTGGTGTAGTGTTGTGGCTGCTTAAATCTAATCCCCTTTCCTTTATGCTTTGGTTTGTGATGCTTATCTGTTTCTTAAATTTACTCCCCTGTAAAAAGCAATGGTAACCCACCTCATGTGGTTTTAGGAGGAATAAATGGAGTTGCCACTTAGAACGGTACCCAGTTATAATATAAAAATGTTTGCTCTCATTATGATTAATCATCTCCTCTTCTCAACAGATTAAGAGTCTTTGAACCTTGCACGACGGCCACTGCACACCTTGCAGAAGCACGACAAAGAGCCAGTGGGTATATTAATTTTAAGTCAGGATGGTTGGTCCTTGTTACCAGCACCAAGGGATTCTCCTATCACAAATAATGGGATTATTCCCCAAGTAGGTCAGGATGGCACAAAATACATGATTTGTGATAAGAAATACTTTTCTGATCTACTTTTATAACTAGCCTATGCCTTTGCTGCCAGCATTTTAATTTTCAGTACATATGCCTGCTTTGTTTCTTTTCTTTTTTAAAATGTCAGCCTCACACACTAACTAGTCTTTTGTACCAGCCATATATATAAGGAGCAACTAACACTAAAGACATATGCATGGAATTCTTACACCAAATCAACTTTTTTTTTTTTTTAAAGACCTCTTTAATTGGACAATACTTTAATTCTCTAAACAATGTTATGGTAGTTGACCACATTTTGAAATTATCTTTGTCTTGTTTGGTACTTGAGTGGCATGAAAAATTTCCCTCTGCTTCCTTACCCCTCTCCCAAGGGGTCATTTTCCCTGCTCTTTTCTCTGCCCTGCCTGGCCTCTGACCCTGCCCAACTCTGCTGTTTCCATGGGCTTCTGAATCTAATTAATGTCTCAGTGGCTATATAAGTGAATTATGTAGGCAGGAGGATGTTGGAAAGTTTGAGGAAGGTATGTACATTCCTTAGGGGAAAACCTGGTTTTATTAAAAAAATGGGATGCACTTGGACTCCTCCATGTGTAAAATGGACATTTTACCTCCATGGTAAAATGTCAGTAACACACTTATACTCATTAAGTATCTCTTGCCTGATGAGCAGCTACAAACTTAAGAGCTTCTCTTTTGACATGTGGGCAATATTCAGGCGTTAGAGAATCTAGCTGAGGGGACAGACACAATCCAAATATTGCCACCATTGCAACACAAGTGCCACACAACTAGGGTATTGGCACTCTTTGCCTCCCCTTCCATTTTGCAGCCAGTTCACAACCACTTGTGGGGAGCATGTCCTTAGATAATCTCTGAAATAACCCTGGCTCCCAGGGCCACAAGTCCTTCTCAAACTCTCCAGGATGTGAGCAAGCAAGGGGGAGGGGCCAGAGTGCTGAAGTTCTTTGCCAGAGGATACTGTCAGAGAGCCCAAGGCAGAGATGGTCCCCATGCCCCATGTTTCCATGGAAACATAGGAGGAGTGATGACAGCCAGCACAGCCACGCCATCTGCTCGGGACCTGGTGAACGATGAGAAAAATAGAAAAAGAAAGGCACCTCAGATCCTAGGCTAGAACCACTCTGGGATACCAGTGCAGAGGGAAAGGCCCGAAGACATTAGAACTCCTAGTGGATTAAAACCCAAGCTGTCCTGGGGCTCAACATATTAGCATGTAATTTGCAAGCAGAAAGCCTAGAGGGCTTACCCTGCAATCCCTAGATACAGTTACAAACACTCAAGAAGCCTCTGGAAGGAGAAGCAGACTGAGATGTGTCTGCACCCTAGCTGGAACGGGAGAGAAGGTGCAGTCTCAGTGACAAGCAATGCTGCAGGAGGTGGGTTGGGGGTCCCCTAGCCTTCCAGCAGGAACACCTGCACAGCTGGCTTCTAGCCAGGCATATTTTTCTGCGGGAACGGTGGGATTATAAAAGGAAAATTTCCAGCTGGTCACAATCGTGACCTTCTGAGTCGCAGCCACATCTTCAGCATCGGGCATGAATTAATAAAGCCATGCAAAGTTTCTCTTCTCTCAATTTGTACCCAAAGGGAGATCTTTGTTAGACACTACAGCTTTGCTTCTGGGTCTGTTTTGGAGGCTTTCAATTCTAGGTTGGCGGAAAGTGAGTGGGGTCCTTGCTGGGTGCACTTGTAGGCCTGCCCCAAGACCGAGTGGGGTTCATTTCTCGGTCCTTTCTGTTCATAGATCTAAAACAAAACAAAACAAAACAAAACAAAACAAAACAAAACAAAACAAAAAAACACCCTTGACCCAGGGAGCCAACAGCTCCTCCCTTAGCTAACTCCCCCAGTGGCTCTCCAGAGCTGGGTGGTTTCATTCAGCTCTCTGAAGTGTTATCTGTATCTATCCAGGGAAGGGGGCAGAGAGTCCCTCAAGTCTCAAGGTCTTTAGTGTGCACAGAAGCTACATCTGCTTCATAGGAAACACCAGTTCTTATTTTTTAATTTAGGTAGTCTCTTACTCCTTTGCAAAACAAAACAAAACAAAACAAAGCAAAAGAAAACAAAACAAAACCCCGAAACCTCCCTTTTAGTTCTTGCATTCCAATCCCACGAAGTCCAAACTTTTTTTTTTTTTTTGCTTTTTATTAAGGATTTAAAATTTTGACAGCTAGATTGAGCACTTGTTTTGGTATGTGTATCTAGGGGCTAGAAGATAATGGGAACATCTTAATATACCAGGTAAATAAAAATAATAAAAAGATCACCTTATAAAGGTTCTCATTAACTGTTATACATTTTACTTGACAATTCAGTACAATTTTTTTTTGTTTCTTCAAAAGACCATGTTCTCCAACTGGACACTGTACGCAAAAACATACACTGGATATACGCATATTAACATAACTTCCCCTATGTTAGAGGCCCCAAACAGAAAATAAGAGCTATTCCTGATGAAAGATAAATACCCACACTGAAATTGCTTTAGGCTCAAAGTGCATTCATGGATTAACACGAGGCACTGTGTTTAAATGAAAATGTAAATCTACCCATTACTACTTGACTTTTGAGGAGAGGCCTTTTTTTTTGAGTAAACCATTCCACCAGCTCTATACCCCTCGGCGCTTTCTCTCTTTCTTTTTCTGGGACCATCTATTTATCTTCAGCCTCCGTGGTGGTGAGGGCAAATCTGTATCTTAAGCTTCAAGCCCAGGACGGGACTCCCAGTAAACATGGTTCTGTTTGTTCTCCAGCAGCTCTCCTTTGTATAAACAGATGTGGTGGGAAGGGAAGGAAAGCCAGATCTCTGTGAGGGATGGGAGGTCTCCTTTCTAGAGAAGCTTCCAGGCTGCAGCCCTGAGCACAGGGACAGGCTGCATTTCTTGTTCAGGCAGGAGAACTTGCAGTTCTTCCAGAGAGGGGCTGTTCTTCTCACTCTCCTCCACCCTCCACCCCCTTCCTTTGTTTCTGGGAGTGCTGTCTGGATGTCTCAGGCATCTCACTTTTGCCAGAGCAAACATTTCCAACAAGGCTTATGCTAAGGAGATATTAGGAAAACAGATTTTTTTCTTCTCTCCAAATGCACTGTAGATTAGGATTTGGGAAGCTAGCCCTTCACACCTTTCCTTCCTCCTCTATTCACATTCTCTTTGTTCTTTTGTAGCCATGTTACTACCTTCAACTAATGAGGGAGGATTTTGGGGCTGAGAGTTGTCAGCTTGTAAAATAACAATTAACGTTTTTTCAAACTATGTTGATACTCTGTCTTAACTGTGTGTTTCACATTTTGCATGTCAGTTATGGATGCTAATAAAGGGAGGGCTACTTCAGAGCTGGGGGAGGATGGGGGCTGAACATTTAATAATTCAACCTAGATAGGTAAGAATTCTTATTGGTCTTTCCTTCTTCTACATGTTCTCCAGACTTAGTTGGTTAATCCTCATTCAGAGGCCAGGGAGGTGAGGAGGATTGATGGAGGGATCCTGTGACTTCTATCCAAGGGTCTAGATTTCTGGTGGCTCCAGTCAGTGGTCCTTCTTGTTGAGAAGGAACAAAGGGGAGCCTATGGGAGAGGCCTCCTGAACCACAGGGAATTGGGGGTTTGGTGCAAGTAATGGGATATAACCACCCTGCTCTGTACCGTTCTCTCCAGGAATTCTCTGGACTCCTGAGTGAGGCTCCCAGAGCTGTGGCCAACAGGACAGGAGAGTCAGGCAACTGAGGAAAGGTTCTGGTTTTGGCCAGCTGTGGTGGAAAAACAGAGCCAGGGCCCTGATCTAAGCACGGACTTCTCAGAACGTCTGTACAAGTAAGGGAGGGGTGGGAGAGGATTGTTCCTGACAATCAAGGAAGTCGTAACAAAAAGGACCTGATTTTTAAGAGCCACAAGGATACTCTGTCATCCTTCCAGCTGACAATATGCCACTCTCCAGACAGGAGATGGGGCGAGAAGTTAAGAGTCTGCACCCAGAGGCCTGTCCCCTCTCCCTGTAAGAAATAAAAAGGAGGTTAGTTTCCAGGGACGGCCAGCCGGAGGGCGGTGGGAGCCCCACTGTAGGCCAAGCTGCACGTCCTGTCGGAAGAGGTTTCCTCCCTCTCACTTAACTTACTGACTCCAGGTATTTTAAACGATTTGTTTACAGCGCGGCTGCAGGCAGCTCTGCTAACTCTCCCGGTGCCTGGGGCGGCCAGGGAATTTCCAGCACCCCCTCCAGCTCTGCAGCCTGCACTCCGCCCGCGGGAGCGCCAGGCAGGGTCCGGGGAATTCTGGGCCCCCAGAGAAGTGCGTGCTGCCCGGGCAGGGCCGGGTGGGGCGGGCAAGGGCGAGAGGCAGAAGATGCGGCAGGCCGGGCCCGGCTCAGCATCCCGCTGCGCTCGGCACCGCCGCCTTTCGCTCCGCTCCGGCTCGCAGGACCGCCCCGGGCGGCCCCGGGCGGCGACGGGTCAGACGGGCCGCGGGGCCGCGGGGCGAGGGGGCGGCGCGGCCTGCGAGCGCCGCGGGACCTCGGTGAGCTGCGCGGGGAGCGCAGGGGCGCGCGGGGCGGGCGCGGCGCGGGGCTCACGGCGCGCGCGCGCGCCTCGGCCTCGCCCGCGCACACGCGCCTCCCCGAGGAGAAAGAGGCGGGCGGGCGGGCGCAGAGCTCCGCGGCGGCGGCGGCGGCGGCGGCGGCGGCTGCAGCGGGCCGGGCCGCCGCGAGGGAGGGGAGGAGGGGCGGGCGCGGGGAGGGAGGGGGGCGAGGCGGCGGCGGCGGCGGCGGCGCGGCGAGCTCGCCGCTCTCTCCTGAGTGTGCCTGCGCGCGAGCCGGAGAGCGGGTGAGTGCGCCGGCCGCTGCCGCCCGCCCGGCGGACCGCGAGTCGGGGGCTGGGGGCGCCGCGAAGCCCGACC